AACCTAATGATTCTATGATTCTATGACTTGTTATCAAAACTAGCTTAATTTTCATTCACTTGAAAAATTAGATCTTAAAAAGGATGTTGTATTTTATTTGCACTGCTGTCTGCTTCTTTACATCCCATTCTCCTTAGAAATGTGACCTTTTCCATTTTTTTAAAGTTAAAAATACAGGACTGATTTTTATTTGTAAAATGTCTGTGTATTATCCTGTGACTCTGGGACCTGGAATTGAGAGTACACCATGTTGAGACAGTTTGTACTGTGAGAAAGGGCAATGGTGTGACTTAGTAACTGCTTGTGTATTTGCTGTGGTATTTATATTCGGTATTTTTAAATGCATTTTTTGTCCGTTTATTATTATTTAAGTGGATTAGCTATGGTTTTCGTTGAACATCTTTTCTAAAAATGAAAACTGTCAAGCTTTTACGTTGTAGATGCTGTTCAGGTATTTTTAGTTAGGACAGTCTTGCTTACCTCCTTCTATGTTTTAAAAATAATGAAAACAGGATGGTAACACTGCATTTTAAAATTACACATCAATATTACCGTCAGTGGTGGCAGTTGCATAATAACACTAAGGCAGTTAGATTTTGCTTGTTTCTTTAGTGTTTAGTGTATGGAGATGCTAACAATTGCTGCAACATAAATGTTTTTGTCTGAAGTTAAGTGAAGTTTAATAAGGTTAATATCTTCTCTTTTTTTCTATTTCCATTAGGAAACCAGTGGAGTTTTATAAATAATAGCCTTCACACTCAGAGCCTGAGCAGATCTACTAAAGGCAACAGTAGCCTAGATAGACTGTATTCCCGGAAGATCAGAAAACAGCTTGTACATCATAAACAGGTGACTTCCAGCATGGTGGTGGCTATTTTCTCGAAACGTATCTCATTTGCAGTGTATCTCACTTGTTGAAAGAACAGCTTTGGCCTTCGGATTCGGTCAGCCTTGCTTTTGCACATGTCTGGTTCTGTAGCTAAAGGCTGCCTAACTTCTTCGACATCCGTCTCAAACCGTGGGGCATGGGATCTGCTGAACGAACAGGTGTTGGAATGTACTCTGGTCCACATTGGACAATAATTTACTTTCTAGATAAATCTGGGTACACCTGAGTGCAAGCACCTAAGCTGTCATTTAAAAGCTGGTAATTCTTAAGAAACAAAATTTTTATTTCTGAAAGCAACCATGCAGCTTTTATGACCCTGGGCATGTATGTCTTGAGCTCTTTTAAAAATACTGTTTCTTCTTAAACTTCATCTGTTCTGGGTCTGCTAGTAGCCTCTTACATTGTCTTAGTTAAAATTGTATATAAACTGTATATCAAAAGCTGAAGTTGCAATTTGGACTGAAGATTACTATCATATGAACATACCGATCCTTTTAACATCTTATTGCTTAAATTTTCATTTTTTCCTATTAACATTTTCTTTTAGCAACTTAACTTATTAAAAGCAAAACAGAAGGCTTTGGTGGAACAGATGGAAAAAGAGAAAATACAAAGCAACAAAGGATCATCATACAAACTTTTAGTAGAACAGGCAAAACTAAAGCAGGCTACTTCAAAGGTATGATGCTCTGAAAATGTAACTGACTTCTTGTCCTTTGTGTGAAAAGACCTGTTCCTGCAAAGTCATTTTTGTCCTATGTTGACCTTCTTTTAAAAAGTTATTTCATCATGGCTGCTATCAAGTTTATTCTGATGCTGAAAACAGCAGCCATCTGGAAATTTCTCACACTGTGAAAAGTAGTTTATCCTTATACAAGGGGTTTTTAGGTAGTCATGACCAAAATCAGTAATAACCCTGTAGCTTTGGGAATGCCAGTCATATCTTTAAACTCTGGGTAACATATACCAATAGAAATGTAAAATAATATTTTTTTCATGGCTAACTTTTGTGCATGATACTCTTCTGGATGCTCTCCTGGTTGAGTAATCATGCCAATGGCTCTCTCCCCAAACTAATAAATGTGACTTTTGAGAATGTTTTCTGAGCTTTCTCAGAAGCTTCTTAGCTTCCTAAAAGTATTTATCACTTAAGTTGTGGCACCTTGCAGTAAACCCGAGATGCTGAGAGTGGATGTGGTAGTTAAAAGAACTGTTTTGATTGTAAGATGAGGTGTTGAAATTTAGGCATTTCTGGAGATGGCAACATGGATTTTGCAGGGGATACAAAAAAAAGTGTAAATCTTTTTAGCTACCAAGCTTAGGTATCTCTTTAAATATTTACTCTCTAGCTCCAGAAGTCCTAATATCCGTTAGGATGACTGAAAGTAGGCCTGTGGAAAGTGATTATAGAGTTTTGGACCTTATGGGCAATCTGAAGGGAAATCTTACAACAACTTCCAGTAATTATAGGGGAAAAAAAATACCACACCAAAATTTAAACACCAGCATAAAAATTAAGGCCTGTTTTTTTCACTAACTCTGCTTGTCATGAGCTGTTCTTTCCTGCACTGTCTTCTGCTTTATTCCAGCAGGTTATATCAAGAGGGCTACTCCACTGGTGGTCCCCTTGAGACATCTTTAAATGAGTCAATGGCTGAAATATGCCATCCAGCTACTTAAGTTCCACTTTATAGCAGCCATGTTGCATCAAAAAAGCATGATGAACTAAAGAGTTTTCCCCTTGCAGTATCTTAACATGTAGTTACGGTATTACTGTGTATTTGATAGTTGCCTTTCATGCAGTTTTTACTGCTTCGCCTACTAATCACTTTCAGCTGTGACAAGCTGAGTGTAACTTAAAACATTGCATTTAGAAGAGAGCTGAAACCTTTGTGCTAGTAAGTAGTTCTTTCTCTGGTCTACTTCAGTAGCTACTGCATAAGTGAGATAAGAGGTGTTTGTGTTCCCTAGTTTTAGACTGCTTGTGTAGCTGGTACAATGTACTGAGCTGCTAAATGTGTGTGCTTGGTGGATGGGAGGATTAATAAAAGCACCACCTTTCCTCCATTGAATTTGTAGACCCTCTGTCAAAAAGGTTGTAGTGTAGAGCCCTGACAGTGCTAGAACTATGAGATTAGTTCAATTTATGGTGGCTAATGGGCCTTTTGTGCCCTAGAAGTATTAAGAAGGTTAGAAATTATTGATTATTTATCTAATGTGAGAGAGGCAGCATTCTTGTAAGGGTACATTTCCATATTAGCTGTTTTTGTATTCAGTTGGCTTCATGGTAACCATAGCTTCATGTGCAGGTGTGGAAGTACAAAATAAACTTCTAGACTATATATTCTCAGTATGTTTTATGGCAAACGTAAAGGCTTAATTGGCACTTGTGTGGAACTGGATAGTTTGGTTCTAAGTCTTTCACCTGAGATGACGTGTTGCCAAAACAAATTTCTGCCAATAAAGCCTTAATTCCATTTGGGGTTCTCATATGTTTTTAGAATATTTTTTTTTAAGTTTTACAGTTACTGGTTTTGCTGCCTTAGATTTTCACTGGGAAAAAAAATTGGGTATTAGTTTTAAAATGTAACTGTTGTTTCAAATTTAATTTCTGCAGCACTTCAAGGACCTAATACGCTTACGTCGGACAGCAGAATGGCCTCGTTCTACTTTAGATACAGAAGTATCAACGGCAAAGGAAACTCCAGAAATTGAACCACTTCCATTTACACTGGCACACGAACGCTGTATTTCTGTAGTACAGAAGCTGGCACTCTTTCTCTTGTCCATGGACTTTACTTGCCATGCAGATTTACTTCTGTTTGTTTGTAAGGTAAACAGAACATGGCACATCAGTCTTGTAGTTGCGATGGAGACTGCATTGAATTAGCTTTCTATGACTGCTTTTTTGCTGGCTTGATGGTGAAAATTAGCTGCAGCATTAAAATTTCTAGTAATTTCTGGTGAGGTAGTTTTTGTGATCTGTCACCTTTTGTGAATGATGGCTTCAAAATTGCATAGAAAAAATGTTTAAAAATATTTTCATATAATTACACTTGTAAAATTCTAAAATTTAGGCCAGTAAAAAACTGATTTACTTGTAAGCAAAATCTAGTAATCATAGAAATTAAAGCGATTAGGTATTCTCATAGTGTAAAATATGAATAGACTTTTTTTTTTATATAGGTCCTTGCTAGAATTGCAAATGCTACAAGACCAACAATTCATTTATGTGAGATTGTAAATGAGACTCAGTTGGAAAGATTGTTGCTGCTTCTTGTTGGAACTGACTTTAACAGAGGAGACATCTCTTGGGGAGGAGCATGGGCTCAGTATTCTCTGACTTGTATGCTGCAGGATATTCTAGCAGGTTTGTTTTTAGTTCGTACATATGTTACACTTGAAACTTTCTTCCTTTAGTGTTTTAGGGCTTTTTTTATTATTATGTTAGAATCTGCTGACACTATTAAGACAGTTAAAAAACCCAAAACATAAAATTGAGATTAGTGTGTAAAAAATGCCATTTGAAATTGCAGTTACAGTCAGTCGTGAATTAGTGACATGTGCATTGAAAAGTTAATATTTATACGAACGTGATAATTTTCAAATAATCGGAACTCCTCCCCTTGAAGAAGTAGCCTTTAGAGAATGTAGAGTTTGTCTTTGTTTAGTTTGCACCTAGGACTAAACTACAGCAGTCACCCATCACCGCTCCTCAGCGGAGAGGGGGAATTGGGAGAAGGAGAGGTGGTCCGAAGACTGAAGCAAGGACAGGTTTAATGAAACAGCAAAACCAATGAAGTACACAGTTATACACAGCCTAGGATGTCTGGCCTTCACAGCCCTCAGGAGAGGGAAAGGCAGGAGGAACCCCCCAGGAGCTGCCCCTCCTCAGCCAGCCTCCCCCCTTTATAACGCCCATGAGGTGATGGGGTGGGCCGCACCGGCAGCTCACTGGGGGCAGCTGCCCTGGCTGGCCCGGGACTGCCGACGGCCGGCCTGGCACGGCTGGGCTGGGCTCCTGTCCCCGCCACACCGGGACAGAGTTGGGTGAAGAAAAACAGACGGGTGGCCTAGACGCTAGGATGTTGATTTGTAGCTGGAATAAAGCTTGAAATGGAGTTGTCTGCTTAATCTGATGTGTAGGAGAGTTGTTGGCACCGATAGCTGCTGAAGCTATGGAAGAAAGTGCTTTGGGAGAAGATGCTGGAGCTTCAGCTGGGGATTCTGATGACTCTCTCCAACAGTCCACAGTTCAGTTAGTGGAAACAATAGATGAGCCTTTGACACATGACATCACAGGTAAATTATTCCATAATCTTGACGTATATATGTATACTGAAAAAAGTAAAAAAACCTTTTCTGTTACTCATCCATCAAACTATGAATAAAGGATTTTTGGTGATATGATAATTAGTTTCTCAAAATATAGGCAGAATACGAGCAATTCTTCAACTTGGTTTTACATCTGATCAGTAAAAAATAGTTATTTTGCAATTATTTTAAAAAGGCAACTTGATTGCATTCATTAACTTTTTCCACTAAGAGCTGTGATATTAAAAAACCTTAAAATTATTCATTAAGTGTATGATATATCCATGATTTATAGTTTGTACTTGGTGGTATTAATACTCTTTTAATCATTCAAAGGTGCTCCACCTCTGTCATCTTTGGAAAAAGATAAGGACATTGACCTTGAACTACTGCAAGAGTTGATGGAAGTTGATATTGATCCTTTGGATATTGATTTGGAAAAAGATCCCCTTGCAGCCAAAGTGTTCAAGGTATGACACACCAAGTTTTCAGGATAACCTTTACATGTGAAATAGCAAAATCGTTTCTCTCTTAACGCTTCTTCATGAGTGGTATTTGATGTCTTAGACCAGCTTTTAGCTTTTTATAAAGGTTTGGTATAGAATGACAAGAAAGAATATAAAGATTGTGTTCACATCTCGAATGTATTTGTATCTCAGTTGACCACAGAACATTTTGCTTTTTCATGAAGATTTCTGTGTAAACAAGAGGTTCTGAGTTTACTCATACTTTAGCATATGTGAAAGACAACAAAATCGTAATATATAAAAAAAATAAGATCTAGTCTTATCCTTTTTTATTAAGAATAGAGTGCCATTTGCTTCTGTGATTGATCTAAGAGTTAATACTGCTAGTATTGTGTTTTAAAAAAAAGTCAGTAGTAGCTAGTGCTCAGACCAGCTTCAGACTGTGAGGAGAAGCAACTAACTTCAAAACTCACTTCACTGTGGAACAAGAAAATTATTACATACTTAAAATGGATGTTAAACATATCAGGGGTAGTAAAATTACGTTTAGTAATAGTATGTTGCCAAGGTGTATTAAAAACCAAAAGTATTTTGGTTGTAAAGAAACACAAGTGTTCGTAATACAAGTTGAGTCTTTTTTGCTCTGTCCATAAGGATGATGCTGTCATTTGGAGATTTCCCACTCCTCTCACTATTGACTTAAATCTTCAGCCTCAATTGAGTTTACCTGAATTATCTTTCTCACCAATTGCTCAGACAACACTAAATTTTCTTTTATTTCTATATTCCCTCATATGTCTTTCCACTGATTACCTGTCACGTAAAGATTTTTCCTTTGAGTCTCATCCTACCAAAAATTTCACTTACTCTTTAATTTTTGTGTTACTGATGTTTCCCCCCTCCTTTATTCTCCTGTGATTTCATGTGGCAGTGCTCCTTAAGTCCACTTCATCCACAGATATCTTCATGATCTTACTGCCTGATTGGATGGCCTCTAAAAAACAGCCAGAAAAACACTACTTAATTCTTAATCCTTCTGAAGATTGCTTCTGTATCTATAAAATGACAGTTGGTATTGGATCTTGCTCTTGAAAAGACAGGCATACACATATTGCCTTCATACAGCCTTACATTATTATTTTTTTTTTGTGATCCATATGTTTCCTTAGAGTCTTAAAATATGACGCTTGAGGAGAGATTATTCAACTCTTTCTTTTGGAGAGCTCAGTGCAAATAATCCCTGAGCCCCACTGAGGCTTCAAGGTACTTTAACAGTACGGTTAATAACATGGTGTTCTGTCTTAATAAATAACTTCTCAAGTTATCTGTGTGATACTCCACTTCCAATTTACAGTATGGTACATATGTGTGAATAAAAACTGATGATAACATTTTCAAGTTGGCTTCTTGAATTTTTGAGACTGCTAACTACATTGCTGGATTTTGACAATCACTAAGGATTCAGTAGCTTATACTGCAATAAAAATTGAAACAAAATTTGCTAAAGGTATTGGATCCAATCTCCTGTAGCTTCAATGTTTGTTGTTAGTCATTACAAATCCTATTTTTATACCTGAGCAGTCTAAAGAGTTGCCATTTTCTTTTCTTGTTGTTTTGGTCTTTAAGCCTATAAGCAGCACCTGGTACGATTACTGGGGTGCAGACTACGGCACCTACAATTACAATCCTTACATTGGAGGTGTTGGAATTCCAGTTGCAAAACCACCAGTGACTACAGAGAAAAATGGATCACAAACTGTGAGCGTTTCGGTCTCTCAAGGTAAGCAATGAACTAAAGTTCTGGTTAGGGTCTCTTTTCTGTGGTGGATAGTGTATTCGATACTTTTGGATATGAAATTATGTTAACAATCTCCACGGGCAGTAAGTGGAAAGAATTAAATTTTCTATATGCCACAGTTTTTCTGTGGTAACTGAGAGAATATTATGTGAAGTTTATATACAGCTTAACATAGCAGAAAATCTTACTATTTTTTAACACTTTTGCATGCACACTTACAGTCAGTTTTAAATCATTCCTATTTTCTCTGTAAAGTTTTGGAGCTCTTTTCTAGTTGGCTGATATTTTGGATAATTGGCTATGCCCTACTGAGCTGGAGTGATACAGCTTTCCCCTGCCACATGGGGGAAAACCAGCTTTTTGGCTCTTATTTGAGAGCTATTACCTTAGGAAAAACAGGCCTAAACATATGCAGGTTTAGTCATGTGTGATACTTCTTTTCACAGTCGCTTTAATATCTGTGTGTTTCATGGGAATTTAGTATTTTATTAATTATGTGTTTCGTGTCTATAAGGAACTTCAGTTCAGAGTATAAGTTCCTACATTCTGCTTCTGTCGTATATGAAATGAATCTTCTGGTTGGTGATACTGAGATTTTTTTTTTTTTTCAGTTTAGTGTGTACTGTGTGTCTGTATGGCTTGCACAGGAAGTTAGAGTGACTATTTATATATGTCTTTGATATAATTCCGTTTTACCCCGTTTGTTGCTTTGTGTAGCTTTAGATGCACGTCTAGAAGTTGGACTTGAACAGCAGGCTGAGCTGATGCTGAAAATGATGTCCACGCTGGAGGCTGATTCCATTCTACAGGCGTTAACAAACACGTCCCCTACATGTAACTAAATCTTGTCAAATAATTCTCTTCATGTAATGACCATGATGCTTTGAAATTTGTACTAATTTTTTCTGCAGTCATCTAGCAGCTTAGAAAAAGTTGTATTTTGCTTGAGTTTTCTTGTTAGGCTGAGCTTTAGAGATACTTCTTTATTCAGATTTTTGAATTATGTGTATACATATATTTCAGACATTTTGTGGAACTGGTCAAATATGCAGGATTCATTTTACAGTGCTTTATACTACAATGGAGGAATTGTTTTCATTTTCTGGTCTAGGTGCAAGTGAAACGTTAAGCTTCCTGGTTTTGTGAAGCTTCATTCTTCCATTCACTGTGAAATGTCAGCTGTTTGAAAGCTGATTTGCACTTGGCAGTTTCACCTACTCAGTGATGAAAGTGAAAATACTTGAACACAGTTTTGAACTCAGCTGTTCAGTAAGCTTTATGTTACAAAACCACTCATGATGCCGATTTACTTTTGAACATATTTTCAGTGAGTTGCAGTGCCCATTTTGTTAAGATATTCTTCTTTGTAGCCACTTTAATATGCGTTCAGTCATTAGCTGACTATCTGATGATGGAATAGGTTTGATGACATCCTCAGCTGTTACTGTCTGGAAGTTTATCACTGATTGCAATAATCTTACCATGATGCACGAAAGAGATGTTCCATTTGTTTCTCTTAAGATTGTGTTGTCAAAACATGCTCAGCAAGGACGGTGGGAAATGTATTTGTGTGGGCTCACTTTCAAAACCAGTTTTTGTGAAGATGGAGATATCTGATATTGAAGCATGTCTTTCACAGTATGGTAATCAGTAGTGCAACTCAGCTGAACACTACATTGGAAATGTTCTTGTAAATTATAAAATAAGTGTCTCTCCTTCTAAGTATAAAATGCAAGGAAATAAATATGAAATTACTTTTAGCAACTCTTACAAAATAATTCATGGAGGGATGGTCCTTTTTTTGGTTTCTGTTTCAGTAACCCAGTCTCCTAGCGGAACAGATGATTCATTGCTAAGAGGATTACATGCTGCTAACCAAAATGCCCAGTTGATGGTACAGTTGTCATCTATACCTATGCTGAGTGCATGCTTCAACAAACTCTTTTCCATGCTACAAGTCCACCATGTTCAGGTATAGAATTACAAACTTTGAAATGTTTTGGTAGTGTTTACCTCTAAATTTGAAAGTAATTTTCCTATGCTTATTTCTACTTAGGATGAAGTAACCTGTTAGGGGCTTTATTGCTTATGAGGCTGTCATGGACAGTAGCACCAATAATGTAATAGATGAGCTGCTGAAAGCTTTTATCAAGTTGGGCATTTCTTGTTATATGAAGAAGTGGGTGTACATTTTCCTATGTAAAACCAAGTTTGTAGGTTCACTTAAAGATAGTTGTTAGCTTATTAATTAAGAGTGTCACTAAGTGTGCCATCTCCATCTGTGGAGGTTTTCAAAACTCGGCTGGACAAACCCCTGAGCAAGGCAGTCTGGTGTCTTCTTTGGCCCTTCTTTGAGCAGAGGATTGGATTGGATAACCTCCAGAGGTCCCTTCCAACCTGAATTATCCAGTGATCCTAAATGTTAACATTAAAAGTGTGCTTTTTGAGAAGTCGTTGGTTTAGCAACGCTTTTCCTGATGCATACAAAGGAA